TGACTTTATTTCTTTTAAGATGTAAAGTTTGTAGGATTGCAAGATCCCTATTAATTGTGAATTGAATCATGAATCATTTTGTTAAAATAATTAATTGTGAATTGTAAAAATCACTTTATTTAATATAAATATATAATTTGATACATGTTTATACATATAGAAATACACACAATGTTTAAAGTGAAATAAATATTAATATAATTAAATTGTAGGGTAAATTACAAGTACACCCCTTGAGGTTTATTAAAAATACAACTTGTTTGAGAAATTACATCCCACTTCTTGAGGTTTCCAATCACATAGCAATTGACCCACTTCGTTGATCAACTATTAAGTCAAACTAACAAAATGTTGACGTAAGCAACAATTTTTTTTAGAAATTATCATATTAGCATTTATGAAGTTAAACATTTTATTTTCTTTTTTCCTATCACACCTTCCTTTATTCTTGATTTTCTTTCAATTAGTAACACCACTTTGCCCAACCATCGCTCCATTCTTGATCAACACCACTGTCATTATTGTCTTCAAACATTTGGTGTGTCGCCAAAGAGGATTGGAGAATATTGTGGTGGTGTAGAGAGAAGGAATTGGTGATGGGTGGATGAAAAAGAGGGTAGTATGATAATTTCGTTTTGGTATTAAGAGGTATTTGGTCAGTTGAGAAGAGGGTATTTGTAATTTTCAGAACGTGAGAAAGAATTTGTATTCTTGACAAACCTCATGGGATGTATTTGTGATTTAGCCTACAATGTATGTATAGCAATATAACCAATTAATCTATCTTTTTTTTGATAGAGTTTAAAATCCGATATCATTTAATGCAAACAAAAACAAGAATCGAATCGCAATAAACCATAGTGAATCGCAAATTGAATTGCATGATGTACTCTATTTCTGATTAAACAACATGATTTGAATCATTTTAGTTGAAACTCTTATCGAATAGTATGAATCGAATCGTGAATTACATGAATCTAACAACCATGCCCGCACCCAACATCCATACTCAAGTTCATGTAAACATAGGTTAGTTTTTGCTCATGTCCGATGTTCCAAACTACTACTCTCTTGAGAAGGATAGCTTGAAATAAATAACATGATTCAGAATTGCACCTTGATTTGGATCTCTAGTTTCAAAAGTATGATTATTGATATTTGGCCATTCAATTTCAATGATAATGAGTACAAATAATGAAAATTGTTTGTGACTTTATTCCTTTAAGATGAAATTTTGCAGGATTGCAGAATCCCTATTAGGAGTCTGAGGTTTGTCGCACAGTGTTATGACTTGAGAGTACTTAGTTTTAATGTTTAGGAAATTGGTTACTGCTGATGAAAAATTAGAAGATGGAGTATTGCTGATGGAGAATGAGATCACTATGGAAAAGGCAAATCAGATCTGAGAAGATCTGACGTGGTTCAAAGGTGAGTATAAGAACAGTACTTGGGATTCTTTTGGAATTGTGGTGCAAATTGGATCTTTGTAATAATATAATGGAGAGAAATAGTGATTGTATTTTCCCAATAGCTGGATTAGATGTGGTAACACCGGTTTATGGGGATGTTTGGCATTTAAAGTTGTGAAAAGTTGAATAATAAATGAAAGCTTCTTCCCAATGGATAACTATTGTTAGAAATGGCTACTTTCGATTTCATTGTGAATCAATGTAATTAAAATATTTTATCTTCTGGGAGTAAATGTGCCTACTGTTAAGTAGTTAAGTATGTGAACTTGCATATCCAGTGAGTTTTTTACTTCTTTGTTAATTGTTGAGGATGCTGTTGGATCTTAATGAACGCAGTTAAGTTTCAGGAAGTAGACGGTTTTGATTAAATAGGACAACTGTTCATAGTGGAATTTTCTTGTTTGCCCTATGTTCATTAAGCAACTTCTGTACTGAATATTTTGTGCATGCATAAAAAAAAAAAAGGTTTCATTTTTCCTTGCATTGTTTCATCATAGTTTTAATCCATAATTAAATTTATAGCTTCTCTCTTAGATGGTAGTCAGTGGTGGAGCAGTTCACTTGTACCAATTTTATTTCTCATATATTCTATGTTCTTCTCATAAGCCCTTCCCCTTTGATGTATATCATTTTTGTTGAAAAGAAAATTTCCCAGATATTGTTTTTGGCGTTTCATGAGTCTTACCTCTTGAGTTGTTAGACCCAAATTTCTAGCTTTTTTTATATTCTTTTTCGTCAACTTGTATGAGTTTTTGTTTGTTGTTTAGATGTAAAAGAATATTGAGTTTGCATTGATGAGAGATTGCTGGGTGAGCAAAAATGCACCCGTCTCCCAAAACATTTCAATGTTTGTGGCAATTTCTCCATTCACGGTACTGAATTGTAAATTTTAAATATTTTAAATTCTGTATGTGCTTGTCTGTTAGATCTTTTTATTGCAATGATCCTATTGATGATCTTATCGGACACATGGTTGGATTACGTTTCATCTTTGGACTGGGAACACTAGTTAGGTCACTTTTGAAATGTTTAGTCATCTGTTGGTGTTTGGAGTTTGTATCGGTGGTTTCAATTCCGGGATGTGAAATGAAATGGAATGACTCCTACTTCCTTACTAGTATAGGTAGTCGTACATTTTCTTGTTATTTTTGTTTATATATTTTTTGAGAACTACCAAAAGCATATATATTGCTGAATAGGAAAGTCATTTAATGCTAGCAACTCATGGGCTGTTTAATTACAGATCAAAATGAACTTTAGATATAGCTAGAAAATTAAAAAGGAAAGCTACTACAAGTTTAATATCCGGAACCATGTTGTAGCATTCCAACTGGCTCGCACTTGCCCGCAAAACGTCAACCAAAACTTGGCAGTCGTGAATATAGACACACATGATAACCTGTTGCCACCAAGCCATTGTAAAAGCATCAAACAATGCTCTTGCTTCTGATAATATTCATGAAGGCAAATGTAAACATATTGCTCTTGATCAACCTTCTCCTGCCAAGTCATTGTACACACGAATGCCATCCAGCTTGATTCCCTATGCTCAAGATCCATCAATAGTGAAAGTCCATACCTGAAAATCTGCAAGTGTTAGGAATTGAAACACAAGTATACAGCCATTATCATCGTGTTCTTACAATTCATTCATGTTAGTACATGCAAGACCAAACTAGCAGGTTATCTTGTTTTCTGGACTGAGATGGATAGTGGGTGATGGTAAAACAATTGATCCCTTTGAAGATCAATGGATCCCCATCGTCTTTGAACCCTTTAAGTGGAAGGAATTATCCCTTTACTTCTCTTCGTTATCTATCTCATTTTATAGATGATACCAATTCATCGCTGGCGCATGATTTCCTAGGTTGTTCTTCCACCAGAGTGTATTTCGCATATTCAAGGTATTCAATTTAGCTTACAGAGACAGAGTTGTGAGTAACAATATGGGGGCCTGCAGAACTGGAGGGAGATACAATTTAAGTCAGGTTATGTTGCTGGCCATGGACATGGGGCATAACAGGCTTATTCCCATCCGCGCTGGAAATGACCTAGGCGTCTCAAAGATACCCCCTAAATGGGCCAACTTTCTTTGGAAATGGCCTTCATAATACCCTGCCAGTACAAGTGGATTATGAGGAAAACGTGGGATAAATTTTCGATCCATATTGCCTTGTTGTCTGAAGGAAAAAATAAAACTTTTGGAACGAATCTTTTTCGGATGTCGAAATCCTCAAAGAATTTGGCGAGGGACTTCGTTGGGTCTTGGACTGTGGTAAAACCTATGAGTTTGGTGATTGGTTAATAATGGATTGAGATGGTGAAGGATGAGGAGTAAATACCATTTGGGTAATCCGGAGGCAGAGGAACAGTGTTGTATTCCACAGCAACGAAAAGTATAGAAAACATATGTTTAACAATTGTAATAATGCCCCCCACTTCATTACAAGCTGGTTGGAAGTTTCAACTGAATCTGCTCCAGCTGAGACTCCTAGGCCTGACCTTGATCCACAATTGTCATTATCTATTTGCTTAAACTAACGGGATTAAAAGGTTTGTTTGGATGCAGTTTATTGTAAGTTGAAAGTGACAATTATAAAAGTAGAAGCAAAATGGCTCTAACTTTCAAACTAATTAGACTTTTTTTAATTATTTAATTAATTTCAGCTTAATAAGTTGCAAGTAAAAGGTAAAAGTTGTACCAAAATTTGAAAATAAATACGATATAAGTAATTTCATATAAACTGGTCCAAAAAAGCACCCAACTTATTATATAGAATCCTTTGCATCTCATTAGCGGCAAGCTTTAAGTTTGTAACATAGCCCAATGGGCTCTCCAAACTAGGACCTTTGGACGTACAAACAATTGATGATCAACTCCTAGTAGTAAGGTTGCAGAATTAGTCCAATTGATTCATTTTATGTTTTTTTTTTTTTTTTCTTCTCAATATCAATTTGTGATCTTTTATTTCAAACTAGAACAAGATTATTCATAACTAAAAAAAAAATAACCACTGCTACACCCTTGTAAGGAGCAACTTCTTTCAAGACTTTATCCTTTCTGTATTTCTTCAAGACTATTTTGTGGCACTCCACGAATTCACAAACAAAGATCTGAACTATATTTATTTCATGAACCTTGCAATAAGAACATATATGCCAATTTTTTTTATTTTTTCACTTTTGTCAAAATATCGATAGGGAACTAAACTAA